AAACAGTTAGTTATATCAATTACTATTCGATAGTTATTAGTAAACATAGATATTTAATCCAAATTTTGTTTTGATTTTTATAATTTGGTTTATAAAAAATTACTATTAATTAGGTGATCGATCTAAAACCCCAAGAAATTTTTTACTTCTGCTTCAATTATACCAAATTTTAGATTTTTTTAAGACACTATATAAAATCAAGCTTTTCAATCAAGACCATTTAAAGTTTGAAAATTGAACAAAAAGCAACACCAACTTTTATAAAAAAAAACCCTATTTAGAGTTTGATGGTCTTTGTTCAATTTAGTAGAACACATGATCTAATATTAAAATTGAACCGACTTCACAACCTTTAGATCTGTGATGAAGTCGATTTTTTTTTTTCACACTTTTTATTGAAACTGATTTAAAATATATTATATCATTGAAGAAATTTAATATATGAAATATATAGAGAAATTAATGGTCTTTTCCGCACCGAAAAATAAGTGAAGATAATAATCGTTGATGCCACATTAGCGATACCAAGATGATCTTGTTTCAAGTCGAAAGTAGACAATTAGGTGTTCTTGAATCCATAATAGCAGCCGGACTTCCAAAATCTATTATGATAACATGAAAACAATTCTTTTAATTTAGATAAATCTTCTTCTTTGATTGTCTTTGTCAATCTTGTTTCGAGTTAGCTTCAGTGAAGCTGCAGTTGAACAAGTTTGAACTGCAAAAGTTAAATCAAATATGTTGCCAAAATTGACTGGAAACTAAATATAGATGAGGATAAAACCTCCACTAAAAACTTTACAAAAAAAAACTAAACCCAATCAAGGGAATCACAATAACTCAATAAATCATGACGAAGAATAACATCGTCTCTGACCAAAATCTCCAAGACATCCTCGAAACTTCATGTTGACCGTAGAAACTACTAGTTTACAACTTTCTCCCTCTCATAATGTCGACAAAAACACCGAACATCGGAGAGGGAGTAAATTCAAATCACATTTTTCTTAATAATGATTGAATACAAGTGACAATTGATCAAAGCTTTTCTTGATTGAAAGTGAAAATGAATGAGAATACAACTGCTCCTTTATATACAGGAGACTTTAACAACGATTGAAACAAATAGCACTAAACAACTAACTCCTACAAACTAGCAAAGCCACAAGACTCGTTCACACGACTTATTCAAACAGAACCAGAAACAGAGCACTAGTTCCGACAGTTTAGGAATACTTCTTCCACTGCTTTGACCACAATCCAAAAATTTTCTCTCTCTTTTTTTCTGCGGTTAGGATTTTTTCCGTGATAAAGTCGATTTAGTTTAAACATTAAACCCTCTTTTGTGATTTTATTTAGTCGATTTAGTTACGAAATCATTTAACTTTGGTTTTTAAGTTGCAATCTTTTAATGAATGGAACAAAAAAAAACAGATTTTTAACTGTGTAGTATTGATTTTTTGCATATTGGCATACCCTCATAAGTTAAGCATAACTCTAAACTTTAGCAATCCAAGGAATTTTAGCTACACAACATTTTTTTTTATTCCTCGAGAAACAGGCATTCTCCAAATTAATAGTGTAATCCGCGATTAATTCACTTAAATCGGAAACACTGCCAAAAAAACCTACCGTCTCGGTTCACCACTAAACTTCTGTTATATTTTGGTTATATATTCATATCACATCTTATAAAATAAAATTTTCATTTCAG